CATTTCGAGCGCTCGTTGGCTCCTAATCACCATACAAACACGACTTCGTTCTACCTGGAGATCATGGCTCTTTCCTTTTGTTTTGACAGTGTTTTGACGACGTTCTTCTATTTGTTTCCAGACGCTCGTAAGTAACGTGCTGAAGACTTAAGGGCGTCAGGATCAGGATCAGTCTGTGGCGATATCTAGTGCAGCGATAATTTGCCGAAGGGAGGTGACTCCGACTCATTCCATTGATTAGTTTCCGCAGCTCGAGCTAAGCATTGAAGGGATCAACCTCTTTTTAGTCCCCGTCAGTGGTCCCGCGGACGCTTTGCATGGTTGTGGCTAGGAACGAACACGATTGTATACTGTTCCCGTCGGACCGCTCAGGAATTCATTGACGAAGATAACACTTTCGGGCAAGTGATTCTGGAACTAAATATACGGTATCGTTGCATGGATGCGAGCCTATGCGAGCACGCTGTCGACTTATCTGCGGAACTCCATCACCAGATACGTTATCTTCAGCATTCACTTAAAATGTATTGACTGCATGATACAACGTACTTAGTCGAGGGTTCTTTCCTTCTCTCAGGCAGTGATGTCTCTTCCAGCAGACGTTGCCAACGCGCTTCCTACCGTCGAGAAAGCCTCGCCGACTCGTAGCGACTCGTACGACGACGAGAAGGCCTCGGTGAAGGGTATCGGTATCGACGAGAAGGGCCTTCCCGTGAGCACGACGTGGTTTCCTGGTGATGTGTTCGAAGAAGTTCGTGAAATCGACCTGGGGACTGACGGGAAGGAGAGGCCGATAGGTTCGCTAAACGAGATTTCGCCTCAGCTTGACTTACACCGTCTGTTCCAGAGACTGCCGAAGATTGGTCGCTACGTCTCATTTCTTTGGACGATGACCCGACTCTTCCTGTCTGGACATTCCGCCTCTGGTTCTGCGCTCTCGGACTCTCATGCTTTGGTGCCGTCCTCAGTCAAATTTTCGTAAGGCTTCCATGTGCATACTTTAGACTAAGTCGCTGACGATATTAAAGGCTTTCCGCCCACAAACGGTTTACGTCTCCCAGCTTTTCCTACAGACCGCAGGGTACGGCCTTGGTCGCCTGTTGCAGGAGATCATTCCTGGCCCAGGCGCGCGGCTGACATTTTTGCGAACACCTGATAACGCCTTCTGGCGATTCATGAATCCCGGCCCATTTAACATCAAGGAGCATGTTGGCACTTTGATCATGAGCGCCGCCGCCACTCACGGGGCGCTCGCCATTAGCATTTTTACGGCTGATGATCTGTTCTACGGGTTCCAGCCTAATCCCGCGATCGCGATATTCACGCTGTTGGGTAGTCAGCTGCTAGGATATGGACTCGCTGGTATGCCTACCATATGCTACCATAACGAGACGCTGATAACAATGCTAGGCATGATGCGCTCGTTCTTGGTTTACCCGACCTATATCGTATTTCCTAACGTCATGCCTACTGTTCAGATGTTCGACGTTCTTCATCGCAGCACCGACAACTTTCTGCAGAAGAAGCGAATCAAGTTCTTTTGGGTTCTCTTCGTAGGCATCTGTGAGTACTCGTACATGATTGGAGAGTTGTGAAGCCGATTACCTCTTTAGTCTTCTGGGAGTGGATACCAGAGTATATCGCGCCCTTGATGACCGGGTTCTCTATCTTCTGTCTCGCACGAAGGGACAGCGCCTGGGTCACGCGTATATTCGGTGGTGCAGCTGGTAACGAAGGTCTAGGCCTCTTCTCTCTATGCTTCGACTGGAATTACGTTGGCTCCGGAGGGTCGGCTTATGGGGCGCTCTTCCAGCCTTTGCACACTCAACTGTCATTGTATGTTGGTGTCTTGATTTGCATGTAAGTTTTCGTCCGGTATCCTTCAGACTGTCCGTCTAATCTCACTCGCCACAGCTTGAGTTTTGCTAGTGTCTACGCCAATAATGTCTGGAATGCCCAGAACTTCCCATTCCTTTCGCAGGTTAGTGCCAGGGCATCTCATTACAGATTTGACCAACTCACGCACATCGCCCCAGCTCCTTTTCTACGCGAACGGCACAGAATACGATCAGACACTCATTCTGAATGATGACTATAGTGTCAATGCCACGAAATTGGCTGAACAGGGACTTCCCTGGTTCGCGTCTACCCAGGTTGTGACTAAGATTGGCTCCAGTCTGGCTTTCGGCGCAACCGTCACTCACATGATTATTTGGAACGGCAAACAAGTATGGGACGCGATCAAGACTGCCGGGCCGGTGATGTCCAGGATGGTGTGTGGCGCAGTTTCATGTCGGAACATTCGGATGTCTAACGACTTACAGCGCACTACGAGAAGATGAAGGTCTATAAGGAAGTCCCTATGTGGTGGTATATACTCATGTTCGTGTCGTCCATTGCGATGGCATTGGCGACCAATTATACTGGAGAAGCCCAACTGCCTTGGTATGTTTTCAGTTGCCATCGTCATTCCAACTAAATCTTTCCAGGTGGGCGTTCTTTATCGCCGTTGGCTTTGCGGCCATCTTTTTGCCTATCATATCGACTCTATATGCCATTTTATGGTGAGTGAGAAATTGAGGTTTCTTCCGACGCGGAGCTCTCAAGACCGTACGATAGTTACGTTCCGGGAACTGAGGACATTGCCCAAGTGATTCGCTTGTCTACTTTCCCCATTGACAAACAGCTCATGCCTTTCTTAGATGCTCGGTGCTGCGCTCATCCCTGGCAAACCTCACGCGAACATGTACTTCACGATGGTATGAGTGGAATCTAGCAGCCGAGGCCTATCTAATTTGAATCCAGTATGCGTACAACAGTACCGAGCAAGGCCGGTCGATGACTCGCGACCTGAAGATTGGTCAATACACCAAGCTTCCGCCGCGTGTTACCTTCACCATGTACGTTGCTTCGGCCAGCGTTGAGCTGAACTCACAAGCATTTGGTCAGGCAATGCCTCGGTGCAGTCGTAGGAGCGATTCTCAACTACGTGATCATGAAGATTGTCGTCTCAGCCAACCGGGATATTCTGCTTAGTGTCCAAGGAACGAACGTCTGGTCGGGCGCTAGCGTACAGTCATTCAACAGGTCCGCTGTGCTTTTTACTGGGATTTCTTTCAATGTTGACATGGTACAATGACTGTAGCAACGCCGTCACTTGGGGTGGTTTGGCACGCGACTTATACAGTCCATCTGGACGATATGGTGTATGTTCCATCTAATCACCGACCAGACAGCTGCTCATTGAAACCTACAGATGGTCCCGATGTCCATCCTCGTCGGCCTTGCGGTCCCGATTCCTTTCTGGCTCCTCCATCGCAAATATCCCAAGGGGAACTTTGACAAGGTCATCACGCCCATGATCTGCACTCAAATTGGGTACATGTCTGGAGGAATCAACTCTGCACTCTTTGCGACGTTCATCCTGTGCTGTATCAGTCAGTTTTGGATCAGGAAGTATCATCCTGGCTGGTTCAGAAAGTACAACTTTTTGATGTCTGCTGCTTTGGATGGAGGTACCGAAGTCATGGTATTTGTTTACAGTTTTGCGGTACGTTTCGATATCCACTGCTCTTGAATTGAATTGATCAATATGACTAGGTCGGCGGTGCGGGAGGACGAGTTGTGAACATGCCCACTTGGGCACTCAATCCCACTGGGAATCCCGACTATTGCAAGAGACTGACGTGAGGCCCAATGCCGGCGCCGTTTGAAAATTTGTATGAATGTTTAAAGTACCTGATTGTCTTGGGTGAACTAAGTTGTTGTACTACATGAACAAACCCCGAGGTGGTAAAACAAGTTGAGGCCCGCATGGCGGCATACTACTACTGCCTGCAATTGTCGTATTATCAACAGCGATTAGCAACAACCCGTATTTGTTGGGCCACATCGGTTAGTCGCCAGTGTGCAATGTAGTATGTACCTGGGCCCTGGCAGCCTGGCGGCCCTGTAGGGTTGCGCAGGATACCTCGAATATCGCGCCGTTGGATATTTAACCGGTTAATAACGGTTAATAACCGGGTTATTAACTCCCCCGCCGAGAGATAAGTTTTGGGCGGTTTAATAACCTATCACATGATGCAATCATGTGAGCAGGCGGGCACGTCGGGGCGAAATCGGTGAGGGGGAGGGTGATTTTTAGGCCAGAGGGCCAGTGATGAGCCACTAGACCACATAATTCATCAGAAGATCAGTAGAACTCAAATTAGAAGATTTTGAAGCCACTGGACAGGTCTCTGAGGGCCTGAGAAGACAATTTTGCTTCAGACCGCGAAAATGCGCCACATTGCATCACGTGTGCGGTTAATAACACACCCCAAAATGGGGGTATACTGTAGTATTTCAATCAATTCGTTGGTCACAGGTCACAAGGACATGTGAACCGACGAAATGTCACAAGTGTCACCGAAAATTTTGCAAAAAAGACCCTGGCGGGCCCCCGCCGTCCTCCCGACGCGGCTCCGCCGCGTCGGCAATTACCAAATAAGGGAATCTGACGAAACGAAAATTTCGTCGCACCGGTCACAGGTCACACGGTGCGACGAATTGAACGAAATTGTACAGTATTCCGCCGTGGTTACTAACCGCCTCGGATAGGGTGGTGCAGTAAACCCTAGGTTTTGATACACCTCGGGTTTACTGCGGTTATTAACGGTATTGATACAGTATTGAAACTGTTGGGGTCGGGAGGTAGGTTTCGATACCAGCACGTGATCGCTTCACGTGACGGCGCGCTGGCGTTCAGAGAAGCTGATAGTCGCGGGACAAAGGCGGGATGAGGGCGGCGCACCGCTGCGCCACATCACGTGGTCACAATCACGTGCCGGTATCGAAACCGTTAGAAACGGTTTCAAAACTAAGGCCTCCCGGGGGTCGTTATCAATACCGTTACTAACACCCCCCGGAGGTTTACTGCACCACCCTAGCCTCGGACCCCGGGGCCCGGAGGTTTACTGCGCCACCCTAGAGAAAAAAACAATATGGATATGCCAGAAGACAACCCCCGGCGGGACTCGAACCCGCAACCTCCAGATCCCATCGCTACGAGTCTATAGAAGTCTGACGTCATAACCATTAGACAACGGGGGCTTGCGCATTAGTGCACTGCATAGCTCCAAGGTCCTTATCTGTCTTCCACATGTATGCTTCTCTACTCGTACTTCGTCGGATATTCTGGCTTTCAGCCGTTGAAAAAGGACATGAATATATTTGTATACCAAAACGTGTGAATTCCCCAAAACTATGCAAGTGTAAAATACAGTAGATAATGATAATGCCAATTTGTGCTATGCCAAGTCTTAGTCTATTGCCGTACCATGAATTTGTACGTAGAATAACCACCAACCAACGCGAAAGCGGCCAAACAGGCCACGATGGAGATAAACCACGCGTACCCCTAAAGACCGTTGGTTCAAGACACCCCGCCAGATCAAAGAAAAAGACACGCACAGGGACATCTTGACCAGGAACGTGAACGTTCATCCCCAGAGACCTATCCACAATTTAGCAGACATTGGCGGGAGCCCAACGGAAACCTCACCGGTCACCAAGTTCATAGGGATGAGCACCGTACCAAGCGCAGTGAGTTTGGAAAGTACGTCGTTGATCTGGTTGTTCGCGTCCGTCATCTCGATAGAGATTTGCGCAAGATAATTCGAGTGCGAACGCGACAAAATCTTCTCGTAGTGGTTGAGATTCTGGGTCATCGTAATCAAATGGTCTTGAATATCAGAAAGATATAATCCCTAAAGTGACGGTCAGTAAGTGTTAAACAGAGAGTGGAATTGCACTTACAATATCGGACGTGGGAGCAACCTGCCAGTTCTCATTGCACCTTTTCGCCAAACCCTTCACCACGTCCGCCTTGTTGCCCATTAGCCTAAGGAGGCCCATGACCTTCTTTCTGCACGTTCCTATTCGCCGTAACATGTCGCTCTGCTCCGCCTCTTTCAATATGAGTACAAGCTCGTCTATGCTATCGACCTCGTATTCGATGCTCTGAATGAGAGGACCAAAGGCATCAGTTATATCGTCGATGAGCGCATACGATATCCAATCAGAAGTGACGCTGATATAGTCCTTGAGCTGCTTGATACGTCGGCGGACATTCTGCGGGTGCGGCGTTGGTCGGAAGTGAAACTGGGAAACATTTAGACTCTTTGTATGACTTGCAGCATAAGCAGAGCCTACCGATAATGTACCTTCCCGGAACACTATGATATACATGTTAAGCGGTTCGAGATAGGTGGGGCTGTATTGATCCTGGTCGAAGCTACGGAAACAGACCAAATAGTAGTTCCTGAAAAGCTCAATCTTCTCGCGAATTTCTTCCATTTGGATGTCTTCGGTAGTAAGGGGATGTATTTTGAAAACCTGGAAAACTCAGAACCGAGACCACGGTGGGAAGAAGCGCATACCTTGCTCAGTATCTTCATTTCCTCATCCGTCGGGCTCTGCACGTCAAGCCACCATGTGGAACCCTCCGAATCATCGTTCGCTCCTCCAGCACCCTTCTCATGTGGGAAATAACCATGACTGATTGATCGTTGGGGAATGCGCGCATTTGTGAACATAGAAGGAGGCTCCTGGGGGGAAGCTGACGACTTGAGGCCTGTGAAAAGGTCCTGGAAAGTTTGGCCCTCCGCCGGTAGCTCACTAAGGCTACGGGCATGTATGGTAGCGGAGAGCGCATTTGAATAGAAGGAGAAGCGATACGGTCGGTCATGACCGATGTTATGTGCACCGTATGTTGGTCCCGAGGAGGGTAGAATTGGCAGATCGTCAGTAGAAGATGCGCCCGTTCCGCCCAGCATGTTTAATCGACCGGGACTAGACGATGTAAAGATGCCTGCATTGCCCTCGAACAACGCAAGCTTTTTTCCGGCACCTTTGCGCATACGGGGATTAGAGTTGCTCTGGCTCAATTTGCGCTGCCGGGAACGTGGAGTGGGAATGGTGAAGGCAGAAGGCCCATCCGAGGGCTCTTCTGGCGGCGCTCCTGATGCAGATGCGCGAGGCGGGGGGATGACGAACTTTGTCGTCGTAGGCGATGTTATTCCAAGATTTGTCTTCTCGACCTCAGCAAAGTCCTCCATAACGGAGAAATCGAACTGCGAACGGAGGCGTTCGCCTGGTAGGAAGGTAGAGCAAACACGGAGGCGCTAGGATGTTCGCCAGTGTCGCCTAGAGATACCAGAAGAGCTGGGTCCTGTCCTGGATGAACGTGTGGACCGCGTAAATCGACGAGTGACGGCTGGCGTGTGAAGTCTCTGTCTATAATATCCGCCGTCGACGCCATGGTACATCTCCCCGTGCAATGTGCATTTCTTCCTCTTCGTGAGGCGACAGCGCTGAGATGGGGTGGAATGTGTCTTCGGACGTTGTTGGGTGCTCGTACGGCGACGAGGAAGGCGACACAGTCGCGGTTTCTCGCCGTGCCCTCGAGAGGTGCATGGCCATATCCACGTCCATGGTGCGTTGTCGTTCTCTAATTTCTGGGTCATTAAGATCGTACGTGCGGATGAGTGTTGGCGAAAGCCGAGGTCGGTCATCGCTGGGACTGACGCTGTCCCGACGTCGCACGGGCGAACCACCCCGTATCGAAGTGGGCGACGTCGACAGTATCGTGTCAGTCGGGGGCGAGCTCATCGTTGGAGACAGTGACACAACAAAATCGAGACAAGGCCAAGATGATCCGTCGGTGGCTGTGCACACCCAAAAAGAGTTCGCCACACGTTGAACTGTTGAAGCCACAACAGCAAAGTACAATCTAAAATTCAAGGATTACTCGAAGGATAATGTTACTACATATCTACAAAACACAACTCGGAATAAGGCTTATGATGTCGCCGCTCGACGATTCGTCCATGTCATATAAGGTTCTCTTGAGATATCATACCCTGTATTGGTCTTCGTGCGAGCACTCCGTCGTGCTTCTGGGAGTTTGGCATTGACCTGCAGATCCTACGAAACGCTCAGCGCGATTTGTGTCGATAAAGTTCAATTACATACCGCCGTGCGTTTACGGATGCCACCAGCAATGTGCGACCACCACTTGGTTAATGCGGCTTTCAAAGTGACATCTCTTTGACCCTTGGGATTCAACCAAGCAACGAATTCCTCCAGCTGAAAGACATTCTCTTAGAAAGCAAATAACGGAGGAGCAGCCAACTCACCTCCTCCAAGTCAGAATAAGCAGCCCATTCGGTCGGACCTAGGATGCCATCCTCGCCTTCCTCTTCGAATCGACGCGCCTCGATGTCCTCTTCAGCTTGTCTCAGCCGTAGGAGGTCCGTATCCGTCTCGCTTGGTCCCTGTACGAATATTCTCCCAGTTCCATACTGACAAACACCACCACTTCCCAGCAGCGCTGCGGAGCCCAGCCCATCAAACCACCATATGCGATTGTAAAACCGGTCGCGCCCCAAAGGTTTCACTCGGATGCCACCAAGCAGCTTCCGGAAATCACGCTCAATGCCCTCCAACCGACGCTCGACCTTGTTCAGCTCTTCATCGAGTCGTCTGTGTTCCGCCAATGCCTGCTTAGCCGAAGCCTGTTTGACTCGTGCAGCTTCGCGTTGCTTGGCTTGAGACTGCATCTTCTGGCGCAAGTCCTTCTGCCGGGCAGTCTTCTTGGAAGCAGAAGGCGTGTCGGACGCGGCATCGGATCCGCCCACTTCGGAATCGCTGGGATCCTGCATCACAACATCCTCATCAAGCGGAACGTCCTTCGTGTCAGGTAAAATAGTATTCATTTCCTCCGTCCTAATACACGTCAGAAATGTTCGACTCAGAGCTCAACTAGACTTACAATTGCTTCTTTGAACGATTCACCTCTATCTTCTCCTTCCGTAACGCAGTTAATTGCTCCTCACATGTTTCCATGTGGGCATGAATGGCCTTGCTTGAGATCGCAAGGTTCGTCATGAATGATATGATGGCTATTCTGTCTGCTGGGGGCAGACTCGGGTACCGTTCAGCCGGGTACGATGGAACAGTATACAAGGATGGTGCGGGGGAGTGGGATCCGGATGCCTCTGAAGATGCTCGAGCTTGATCAGGTTCTGCAGGCGCAAATAGGAGCTTCGTCAGAACCTCTCGTAGCCTCGGGAAATTGGCTACAGTTGCATGCTAAACGAAGAAGGCGGTGAGCAAACTTGTAGAAGAAAGAAACTTGTCACTGACATCCTTGATGCAGCCTACAAGCGCGTCTTCCCAGCCTTGTCGGCCTTCAGCGAGCCGCAAAGGTACTCTTTCCCAGTTGTTTCCTATATCAGCCATTGCTGTAGTCAGAGTATCCGTGTCATTTCCCAGTACTAATGATTCGTCGTCATCTTGAATAAGGGACAGTACCGCACTATGTCGATGGAATGGAACTGTGCGAAGGTTATAGATCAGAGTTGAGTGCACTTCTGCTAGGAGAGAGCATGGAGGATCATCAAGAGCATGCCGTATCCCGTGCTCGAATTCATCCAAAGTGAAGGTGGATAAATGAAGGGCTTGTCTGAAGATCATTAGCTCAGAAGATGTGAATCAGGAAACATAGCCTACCCGTAAACTACCAGGAAGTTCCAGCTCATGAGGAAAGCTTCAAACACGCCAGGAGATTCGTTGAAGGGCAAAGCAGTGCGACTGGGGATCGGTTTCTGCACCTTCATGCCGGCTTTCTTGTCCTTGTCGGTCAATCTCACGTCCAAATCTTCGGTCGGATATCGGAGTGGCTTCTTCTTTTTCTTGTCCGCCGCTATGCGTTCAGCCTCTTCCTTGGCGATTCTCTGTTTCTCGGCTTTCTCCTGAGCATCGCGCTCTCTCTTTTCAGCTAAAAGATGAACAGTCAATAATAACCGGTACTGACGCACAAGTGGGACAGACCTCGTTCCTCTTGTGCAGGAGTCAGCTTCTTCTTTTTGGTAGGCGGTCCGTCTTTATCTTCCCAAACTTTCTTCCTCTTGTCAATTTCTCCTTTCTTGATGGTCTCGACGCCACGACGGGTCTCTTCGGGCATGTCAGAATTCACGCCATAACGTCTCGCAATGGCACTCTTGACAGTCCAGGGAGAGGCGACAGCTGCATCGCGATCGACACAGTCG